TTTTTTTAATAGATTCGATAGATAGGGTTTCGAAAAATCACAGAATAAAAAAGCAGGTCTACCGAATAATTGATTGTAGGAGCAATTAATTGCAATTTTTTGAACTCCATTAATTGATTGGTGGCGCAGTAGCAATAAGTCAATTAATTGCAATAAGAGTTCACTGATATGATTTATTAGTGAATTCTTATTTATCACATAATGATTCATACAACCATGTGACAAATGGAAGTTAATTGCAATTATTTTGTCATTAATTAATTTTATGATAATTTTAATTGTATGACATATCGATATAACAAAAATCAATTTTAATTAATTATTCGGTAAGCTAATAAAAAGTACTTTAAACAGTATAAAAAAAAAACCAAAAAAATTTATTAAATTAGTTAGATCATCAATAAATATCGGTTTGTCCGCCCTGCTAAAAAATTTGATTATTCTGGAGCGTAGAATAGAAAAAAAAAGAAAAAAGGTGAAAATACGAGAATTTAGTATTTAAATCGACTTTAGAACACTAATTAAAAATGCCGGGAGTAAAATTTTACATACAAAAACAGATAACTATTTCTATAGTTTCTAAATCTATCACATTTATATGTACTTAGTTAAATTTCCTTTATAGATTTTTATTACCTGCACATGCCAAAAAAAGAGCGCATTTGCTCCAAATAAAGGCATTGTTAATACGATATCATTTATACGATTCAGATATTTATTCTTAATAAAAGTTTCCTTACATTCTCTACAACGTCAGCTACTTTTATTAATTTGCTAATTCCTTAATCCGATATTCTACTAAATTCCAAGTAGCACGTTCTTCGTCTATGGTAATAATTCTTGGTTCTTGATAATAGTAGTTTGTACTGTTATGCTGCCCGATCGTTATCCTAATTATCGACATTGTTAAGAATCATTGATATGGTACGTGATTTTGACTACCCAAATGGATTGTGGATAGTATTGTTGGTTAACTGTCCTGAAAATAAGCATCGTCCCTCTACACTACTTTTTTAAATCTCCGATTAGCGGGAATGACAACACTAATAGTTCTAAGATCACCTAAATGCGCTTTTAAATAATGATGATCGCAATAAAGGTATTAATAGACGTTCTATTAGTAAGTTCAAAAAATTAATAATTATAATCATTTTTTTGCTATTACAAATCAAAATTAATGGCCAATACGAGTCGAAGAGCTATAGCTCAACAACTAAGACGCACATGTGAACGAGAGTTGCAAATATGTACAAGTGAGCCAAATAGAAGAGCTATTGCTCAGCAAGAAAGAAGAGAACGCGAGAGAGTCGGGAATACAGTAAATCAAAGGGCGGTTTCTCAACAGGAAAGAAGAAGGCACGAAAGAATAGAAAATACAATAGATCGTAGGTCTATTGCACAACAATCAAGGAGAGAACTTGAGCGAGCGAAAAGAGCACGTACTATACCAAACAATGAAATATTTGCACAATTTCAACTGCAAAATATATGACATGATCTCAGTCATATGGATACAGTGTGTATTCATTGCGGTGCACTCCATTGGTTAGATGAGCGTATTGTAAACTCGCCAAAAACTAACCCAAAATTTGGGTCATGTTGCAGGCATGGAAAAGTTATTCTTCCTCTTCTCCATGATCCACCTCTTCTTTTGCGGCAGCTTTTTGAGGGTCAAGATGAGCAATGTAAGGAATTTCGTGCAAACATACGCCAATACAATGCAGTACATGCGTTTACTTTGCTAGGAGTAAATATTGATCAAACTATTCTTAATGGGCGTTCTCCGTATAGCTTTCGTATTCATGGTGAACTGCGCCACCGTTCAGGTTTACTCCTTCCAGAGTCTAGCTTGAATGCAAATTATGCGCAACTTTATATTTATGATCCAGATATTGCACATCAAATAAGGATGGGACGAAACAAGAATTTACATACTCAAACAATGTGGGAATTACAAGAAATTCTTCGGGAACATCATGCGTTTTATCCTATATATCAACAAGCTCATGAGATTCTTTCTCAAGTATGTGAAGAAGGTGTATCCGAAACTGATTTAGCTGTTCATCTTCATTTCAATGCAGCAACAGATCGACATCGCTATAATCTTCTCACATCAAATGAAATAGCTGTTATTTTACCTGGTGATGGATCGGAGCCAAAGGCAATGCGTGACATTGTAATTCGATTACGTGGAGGACCACTAGAACATATTCACGAAGCTCATCCAGCATATTTACCACTTCATTATGTGCTTTTTTTTCCACATAGAGAGCTTGGTTGGCATGCGGAATTGCATCACACTTTAATAGATGAATACGGACAATATATTGAAGATCAGAGTAAAGCCTCACGCCTGACGCAGATGGATTTTTACTCATTTTGTCTTTTTTCACGTCATACAGAGTTTTCGACAATTCTTCGAGGTGGGAAGTTATTGCAAGAATTTATGGTAGACGCATGGGCGACAACTGAGCAAAATAGACTGAGATACTTACATATGAACCAGGATGTACTATGAGCAGATGTATATCAGGGCCTCGCAGATGCATTAGGAACTATTGTAAATGAGGAGATAAATTTGAATAATCTTGGGCGGTGTATAATCCTTCCTTCAACACATATCGGAAGTGCATGTCATATGTTTGAGATTTTTCAAGATTCTATGGCTATAACCTGATTTTATCACCATCCAGATATTTTTGGAATGATGACAGCAAATCCAAATTGGCCAGAAATCATTAATGAATTGCTACCCGGTCAGACTTCAGCTAACAGACCTGACCTGGTAGCACGTGTATTCGAGCTCAAACGTCGCGCTCTTCTTCATGACATTAAGAGCAACAATATTTTTGGGAGAGTGGCGGCTTATGTATATACAATAGAATTTCAAAAACGTGGCCTCCCTCATATGCACTTTTTAATCTTTCTTCATAGAGACGACAAAATAAAAGAACCTGCTGATGTTGATCGTGTCATATGTGCAGAGTTTCCCGACCAAGAGACTGATCAAATGCTCTTTGACACCATATTACGATGTATGATTCATGGCCCTTGCGGCGCCCGTAATTCTCAGGCTCCATATATGAAAAACTGGAAAATGACAAAAGAAGTATCCAAAAAACTTTCACGATACGACGTCAATGGATGCCGACAGATATCCTCATTATGCAAGAAGAAATGATAGTCATGTTTTTAATGTTGCTGGCAAAACTATTGATAATAGAGATGTAGTGCTATATAACCCAGCTCTTAGTCGAAAATATAACTGTCATGTAAATATCGAAGTCTGTGCTTCTGTACAGGTATATATAATCCGCCTAAATATGTTAATTTTCATTTAAAATTAATATTGACTAACGACATTGTAAACATAATTTTTTTTTTATAATTTTTTCTTTCATTTATTCATTTGAACAATACCTATACCTATAGGCAGTCAAGTATATTCAC